AGATAAATTTTAGTCATAAGAGCAATAGAAAGCTGGTCCTTATGAATGCAGAGATAGGTCATCAGTGGTGAAGACTTCAGATTATAATGGTGTAACCAGTGATATTTCTCCTGTTCTGTCTAGAGATTTTGTTGTGTTTAGTAAACATACACCTTAGTTATTAAAATAATACTTGGTGATTTTACTGTATTTCACACAATAATGAGAAATTGATGGTCAAAAATAATACTGATTTTGATCTAAGATTGTTGTTCCACTAGTTTCTTATTGTACATCTTTTTCTCACTATGGATGAGCACATGATGGGGACCATATCAGCAAAAATGAACTGGTAACCTGAGAAGTGACAGCAGGTAGAACAAAATTGCAGGAAGAAGGTGGTGAGGGCTTAGGCAGAGAGAACTGAGGAGTGGATACAGGGGAATAAAAATGGAGAAGGAGATTAGGAACCAAAAGGTTGACGGTGAACCTAGGTCACTTAGGGATTATGGAAAATGTCCAGTGTTGAAACAGAGAGGAATGGAGAAGTGGAGAGAAAATATTGGTGTTGACAGGGAAGAAAAGTGAAAGACTGAAGGAATTTACTGTTGGGGGTTCATGCAAATTACATAATGCATATTCATTGCTGTACAAAACAGCACATGAGGACATTAGCATAAAACCTCCAGCTTTCTGAATTTAGGGCTTAAGCAGGTATCCCTCTGATGGCAAAGAAAAGAGAATAAATGATCTGAGTTAGTGGCTCTGGGACTGGGACTTGGATAATAAGAGATGAAAGCTCAGGCAGAGCCAGCAGTTTATCCTTTTGCAGGTGCTGGTACATATCTAATGTCCTGTACATGACATCAGAGGAAAATATCTGACCAGACAAGAGAGGAAAACACTTTTCAGGAATACTGTTTCTACTGTCCAGCTAATTAATTAGATTATAATTAAATTAAAGTAAAAAATAGTATGGTTTGAGAGCAGTTTGGAGATGCCTTTGCAGCCTCAAGTGCCACTACAATCTGTCACTCCGTCATGCCCCATATTTCCTATTCTGTCACTGCAGTTACTTATCTGTGGCAAGAGGCCTTGCAGTCTTGCCAACACTGGTGCTCCTATGCCTTTGTTTTATGAAACTCAGCATTGTTTTGGTCATTTTTTTTAGCTAACATTTAATGCGTGGTAAAACTTCACCACTTTTTTGGCACAGGGCAATTGTACTTGGAGGCTTTAGAATGGGCATGTTGCAATAAATTTATTTATTCTGCCTTATGTCACAGAATCACAGAAAGGGTAAGGTGGGAAGGGACAACAGTAGGTCGTATGGTCCAACTCCCTGCTCAAGCAGGATTATCCCAGAGCACAGGGCACAGGATTGTGTCCTGACAGTTCTTGAATATTTCCAGTAAGGGAGACTCCATAGCCTCTCTGGGCAATTGGTTCCAGTCCATGGTCACCTGTGTGTAAAGAAGTTATTCCTCATGTTCAGGTGAAACTTCTTGTGAATCACTTTCTGCCCAGTGCCTCATGTCCTGTTGCTCAGAACAATGGAGCAGAGCCTGGCTCCATTCTTTTGACAGCCTCCCTTCACATACTGACAGAGATTGATGTGGTCCCCTCCCAATCATCTCATCTTCAGACTGAACAGGCCCAACTGCTCAAGGGAGAGGTCTCAGTACCCTCCTGACCTGTCACTAGGCACCACTGAAGAGAGCTTGTCTTTGTCATCTTTATACCTTCCCTTCAGGAATCTACCCATATGGATGAGATTCCCCTGAACCTTTGTTTCTCCAGGTTGAAGAATTCCAGCTCTCCTGCTTTTTCCTCATATGTGAGATGCTCCAGTCTCTTAATTATCTTAGTGGTATTTTTCTAGACGCTTCTGTGTCCTTTTTGCATTAGGAAGTTCAGAAATGGGCACAGCACTGCAGGTATGACCTCACCTGTGCTGAGTAGTGAGGAAGGATCACCTCCCTTGATCTATGGGCAACACTCTTCCTAATTGCTGTTCAGAAAACCATTTGCTTTCTGTGCAACAGAAGCACATTGCTTGCTCATGTGCAACAACATATTTACCAGAACCCCCAGGCCCTTTTCTGCAAAGCTCCTTTTCAGTTGGACAGCCCTCAGCAGCCCTTGCATTTGGCCAAGTTGAGCTTCATGAGGTCCTTGTCTGCCCATTTCTCCAGCCTGTTGAGGTCCCTCAGGATGGCAGCACAACCTTCTCACATATCAGCCACTCCTCACATTTAATGCCATCGTGAACGTTGCCCCATCAACCAGATCTTTAATGGGGATGTGAAACAGGACCCATTTCTGATCCCTGGGTACAGTGCTGGTCACTGGCCTCCACCTGGTCTGCTTGCCACTCATCACCAGCCTCGGGGCCCAGCCACTGGGCCATTTTTCAGTCCACCTGAGTGGTGGAATGGCCCATCACCTGTTTCTCTTTGGCAAGCATCATGTCAGAACAGGTTGTGAATGGCTGTTCACAGCGAAGCATCACCAATATTTTCAAGATTTTCTCACAAGTATAAGACAGCTGAGAAGAAGTACAGAAATAGGTGTCTTAAAATGAATTATTGATGGCCAAAGTCACAGCCCAACATGCAGTGGGAACTGGAGCTGGAATGCTGCATGAATAGGAATACATAAAGCGTGGAGAATCTCTGAAGTCGTTTGAAAATGAGGACAAGGATCTTCTGGCTTGGCGAGAAAAGGAGCCAGGGGAATCTAAAAGGTGGGGATTTCAGATGAAAGTGTGAGACAGGAAAATAATCTTTGCAGTAGCATTCTCAACAGTCAGAGAGTAAGATACCCAGTAAGAGATGTCAGCAAGAGGTAGAAATATTGCAATTTGAGTAGAATACCAACAAAAGAGACAACCATGCTTTAAGAATACAGAAAAGGTAACTAATTTTGTATTTTGGGAAGGAGGATATTCAGAGAAAAAGATCTGAAAGGAGAAAATTAAGGTCTGAGATGTTTCCTGATGTTCTTTCTAAAGACACTCGATGAATAATTAAGGGTATAAAAGGAGAAGCAAGAAAAATGATATTTTATAAGCAGATATTTTAAATAACTGCCATTACTGTGGCATTTTCTTCACAGTGAGTCATGACACTGTCTATTTTTTAAAATTTACATGAATTGGCAAAGAATACACCGTAAAACCAGGAAAATATATCTATATATATATATACACACACACACAAATTTTTTGTTCACAGGTTCTGCAATAATTCATTAGGTATTATTTCTTTACATAGCCATATGTATGTTATTTGTAACTCTGCAATTGAAATACTTCTGCTTAGTAGTAATTTGCTGTAATTATTCTACAAATATTTCTTCTGTTAGGCATGGTTCTGAAGATATGGTAATTGCTTTTTAAAATACTCCTTCTAAAACATTAGTGAATTGAGGCAAATTTCAACACAAGAGAGTTGTGTATCCAAAAGCAGGTTATTGAAATTGTTGGTGACCTGAATACCTTAGTCTTGGTGACATGCATCAAGGAATCCCAGCAGGAGATATTTCATTGGCAGCAGGAAGCACTGATTTTGGAGCATGGTATTTCTTGTAGTTTAAATCCAAACCTTTGGTAACCCAAAAAGCTGTATATTGTTACTAAACAGAAAATGCATTTAAAGCCTCCTTCCTTTAATACAACTACCACCACTTTTCAGAGACTATGCAGTAGCTCCATAACTAAGCATGTTCCTTTTATTCTTAATTAAAAAAGACATATATATGTATATTTTTATATTTGTTGCAACTTCTCAGTGGACAGCAATGGACTTGGAAATAAACCTGTTGTGGCTTCCTCACGTCTTTTTGTTTGCTGAATTTTCTGCTGTTACTGCAAGAAAAGAAAGCCAGCATTAGAAATCTGAGGAGAGCATGATTTTTTATTTTAACAGAAATTTTCAACAGTATTTTCCTGGTTTTCTATGATTTGAAGCTTGATATGTTCTTTGCATTTAATGGATTCCTCATTATCATGGTCCTTTCTAGTAAGTTGCCTCCCATGTACTGACTCCATATCGAATTTTTTTATTGCAATGATTTCTTTCCTGTTGATTTATTTATTTATTGCTTGAGTTTATGCCAAATAACGATCCTTTCCTTAGCTGACTTCCAGTTCAGGTCTCGTTTATCTCTAGGTCTAATCTTCTAGTCTGAAGAATCCTTTCTTTCCTTCACGGGTTTTTTTTCACCTGTGCTCATCCTCGTCTCTCCTGTCAGTTACACTTATATTATACATTATCTTTGCTTTAACGTATATTCAAAAATGCATATCGTTCCTTCATTTAGTTGGGCTCTATATTCACATTCTGAAAGTATTTTTTGTTCCTTATGTAGCCTCTCACTGATTTCTCACCAGTTAATCAGGATAGGCATTGCTACAGCCTTTGATGGGAAAGTATCTCTAGAGAACTTGGTGCAGCCATAGAAGAACTGACTAAAACAGTTCCTTGCAGACTTTTTTATTATATGATACTCTACCCTCCCCAGCTGTGCTATAATTTTTACCTTTACTAATAGGTTAGATAATTTTGGTAAACATAAGATAAATGTGACAATTTCTACTACTGACTGACAACAGATTTACTTCCATGATGGTGGCTGTGAGTCAGACCCCTTTGACAGTGCTGGGACACACTTGTAGGAATAGCTAGGCATGAAGAAATATTTGTGATTGAAGTCTTAACAGGTGGTGATGGGTGGTAGGTTTTTTCCTTTGTGAATTTGTTTACACATGCATGCGTGGAGGGAGATTTGGAGGTGCAGTTTTGCTCAGGGTACCCTAAAATTGTAGGAGAATTGAATTTTACTCTGCCACTTGTGATTTACAGAAATGTGTTTTGTAGCTGCAGAAGGTGGGGGTTGGGAGGTACTGCCTGTGGTTTATAATATGATTTCAGATAGTGCAGGAAGGAAAGAATAAACGGAATGACAGGCTTCTGTCCTACCTCTTCCATTTCAAACACCTCTGGTTTTGCCCATTTTAGACCAATCTTGTGAAGCTGCTTTTGATGCACCAGGCAAATCCCAATCTTCTTAACTGCAATAATGAAAAGCCTTCAGGTAGGTGAAAATCCATGTACATAGTGTATGTATTAGCTACTGTGACACTGTTTTCTTTCCTCCCTTCTTTCTGTAGTTTATTTAGTGTGCAGAGTTATATACACGGGCGTACGTTCTTACATACGTTGCTGAAAACTGCTGGTCATGGTAATTCAGGATATCATATCAAATGACAGCATGTTCTTCCACTTGTTAAAATCCCTGTTTATTTTTAGCTGTTTCTTACTTGAGAGGTCTTCCGTGCCTTGGTGGTAGTTACACATTTTGGTGACTTCTCACTGAGTTTCTGTCTCAACTGCTTATAGTACATGGCCTCTTGAGTTGGAATTTCTATAGCTATTGTCTGAAAACAAATTCAACACCAATTTTTGAAGTGTAGTTGCCATGTTTTACCCCAGAAGTCACCTTCTTAAACCAGATAGCAACAGGAAGCTGAAGTACTGGCTCTAAAGTTAATAGAATTGTAGACTCTATTAGGTTGGAAGGGACTTCAGATCAACTGGTCTAATACAGAGATCAAAGCAGAGTTAATGTCAGTAATGCTAGCTAGCAGTGTGGAAAAGAAGAAACACATGGTTGTTCAACATTCCATGTCTAGGATAAAATGAAGATGAAACTCAGTAATGTAGATAATAGAAATTTCCTGTCAGATTATGAGTGAAACTTCCCTTGCATGATAAAGCAAAACATGTTGTGCTTCAAGTGCTGTACTGCCTACATTCACAGGGAACTTCATAACACTTAACCTTAGAAGAATTGTTTGTGGTTAGATACAGTTTTTATTTGTAAAAAGGCTGTGGACTAAAGTCAGATAATCTAACAATACATACTTTTAGTATGTATTTAACACAGTTGAGTTAACTTTCTGGTCTCCACACAGAACTGATTTCAGCACTTCTCTATGTATAAAACATATCTAGTTTTCAGAAACATAAAATATTTGAAAAAATATTTAAATGCATGTTTTCACAGAAATAAAGTGTTGAAAAGGGTTGTATTGTTGTTCCTGAAGTCCTGTAAATTACTGAATACTTTGGTTTGCTACACAGCAAGAATGGTTTTGAGGTTTTGCAGATGACAACTTAAATCTGTACTGAATTTACTTTGGCTTTGTTTTCCCAGTAATTTTCAAGTATTATTTTATGAGTGATATCTGAGCAATTCCATTTGTGTTGTCTAGCTACATGTTTAGTCTTAATCTGATCTAGAGATTTTAATTCAAAGGATCTTTTTTGCACCATTTTCTTGTCTGATATCTTGGTGTTCCAATGTCTTAGATGTTGCAGCTTCTGATTTTATTGAGGAAATGCTTCTGAAGGCTGAAATTGTTTGGGAGGAAAAAATGAAGGATCCTTTAGCTGTTTCTACTTTATCTCAAGAAGAGCCATATGAAGAGATCATCCATGATTTGCCCACAATTTCCAATAAACTGTAAGTAAGTGCTGGTGTTGCTACAGAGAAATCCCCTGAAGCCAGATGCTCCTTTGAACCATATCTGTCCATCTGTGAATCCTAGCTGTGTGTGTTTGGAGATATTTAAATCCCATCTGGACATGGTCCTGGGTGACTGTCTTTACACATCTCTGCCCTAGCAGGATGAACAGACCAGGTGCCCTCTAGGAATCCCTTCCACTCCCAGCCGTTCTGTGATTCTTCATTATTTGATGGATCAAGTAACTTCCCTTTTGGAAATCTCCTGAATCATATTTTGCATTTGTATCTCTCGTATCTTTTTGTCAATCTTAATTTTATAATTATGGATTATGAATAATATAATATATTATTATAATTGTCAGCAGAAATTACCTGGGGTTGCCTTAGCAGAATTATTAGAGGTTAGTACTGTATACTTGGACATCCTCTTGTTAAGGTAGATGGGTATAGTGTAAGTAAAACTGTCATTGCCTATGAGAGAAGCAAGGACAAATCCTGAAAAGAAAAAAAATCAGATATGTGATTACAGATTAAATGATACTGGCCAAAATCATATTTACAAATTTATATTTAGATTGTGCTGCTTAAAAATCAAGTGGAATCAAGTAGCATTTCGCAGTGAGGACTTAAAATTCAATATTGAAGAGTCAATTTGTGTCTTAAGTTGTAATTTTTTTATACTTTTGCATTTCCTTGTAAATCTTAAAAAAAGATTGCCATGGGTATGTGAAAAAAGATGGACAATAGGTATGAAGCATAATTGGCTGTTTTATGGTAGTACAAGACACATTGATATTTCAAATTCTTATTTTCCAATACTGTGATCCAGAGAATTTTAAAAGCTACAAATACTGTTTTTATACAGTGTGTAGTTGCTGTATATTTGAAGTATATATTTGTAAGCTGCATAATCTTGTGAAACACTGACATTAATTTTTCTGTAGTAATCACCAAAGAGTGTGTGAGGAAAACAATAAGTGAAACCTCTTATAGAGAGACAAATAAGGTATATATGCTCCCATTTCATAGTTGTTATAATTTGTGGTTGGCAGAATGTGTTTGAATGCATTAAAATTTGGAAGAGGTGAGCAACTGTCATGAAGTAATCAATCTGTTAAATTCAGAACTCAATGGGATATCCTGATATTTAGTAAAGATTGCATATTTCATGGACGGTAAACACAGTGTGTTGTTTCTGATTCATGATTTTGTAGTCATTAATACATGTAGCTGGGTATATGATACTACTGTTTACGAAATTACTAATTTTTCATGCTTGTTAATTCCTTATGAAAGAAGCAGTCCTCTAGTTCAACTGTCTGTTTCAGTAAGCTGTTTCATAAACCATACTCCACAAATTTATGTGGCCTTCAACTGTCATTCAAATGAAAATTTTTAATTTTGTGGCATGAAACTAAGCCTTTAGATCCTGAAATGTAACTAAAACTTTTATGTACATGTACTGCAGTGCACCTCTTGTACTGAATACTGGTTTTTGCGCTAATACCCATTAACCTCTGGAACACCTGACCTGCACAAATTTTAAGTGGTTTGAAAATATTTTTTCTCTACTCTTTCCTTCCTGTAATACATATATTAAGATAGCTAATTTTTGAGAGTTTTCCATATAGTGATTCTTTGTATGCCAGTAATACAAACCTGCCATGTGTAAAAACCTTCACTGGAAGTTTTAAAAAAGCAAAATCGACTGAAGAGAAAAACATAGAAAATTGATTTATGTGTGGAATTGGACGAGTTTAGCTTCTATTGCCAACTGTATCCCAGTGTGGGACTGCACCTCGTTTGTGGTGCCTGCATGAGTACAGCAGCAGGTGAAGCCAAAGCCCTGTTCAGCTCTGTGCACTGACTTGGCAGTGACCTTTGCACATAGCCAAATGATAGTAGACACACTCTTAAGATATAGTGAATTATCCTCCAGAGTGGCTCCATGCTGCCAGTTAGAGAGGCAGCCCAGATGACTGGTTTCAACATCTTTTTTTTCCTAATGGCTAATGTTGAAAACAAAGTTTCATCCTTCATGCTCTGTTAAAAGTCTGTAGAGAGATGTGTAATATGATAGGTTGAAGATAAATATCTGTGCTGTTCTTGTGTACCAAACCAATTTTCAAGTGCTGAAGAAGAGTGTACAATAATAATCCACATGTATCTTTGCTTCATTCTTTACTGCATCCATTCTTCATCAACTCTCCTGATGTAAGAAAGTAATCTGAGGTGGAAAGTTTTACAATAGTTCGTAGTAACTCTGTGTTGTAGCCATATTGCTTTGTGACCATTTTTCAGAAGAAAACAGTATTCAAAAGCAGGCTCAAAAATGATGAACAAACAATTATAAATAGCATGTGTTCTGTCAGCAAACCTAGATTTGCTGGTTCAAATTTAAATTACAGCATTGATTTCTGGAAGAACACTGTGAAGAGGTGAATTGAAAGTCAGCCTCTGCTCAGGTAGAGGAAACAAAATTTAGTAGTCAGTATATTTGAAATATTCTCTTAGCAAGCAAACTTGGCTTTCTGCATTGCATTCAATCTCATCAGTGAGGTGTGGGTGGCACAGGGCAGGATTGCAGTTATTTCTCTTTGTCATTCCTCTTGTCTTCTTCTTTTCTTGTGCTTTACACAAGCCTTCTACAAGCTGCAGCACCTTTGAGGCCATACTTGCTCCAGCTTCGTTCCTTGGTCATAATTGACCAAGTAAATTAGCTGAAGGACAGAATTTTAGGAATGTCATGAAGTTACTTGAAGGATGACCATTGCAGCAAACCTTCAGCAAGAGTCAGTGCTGGAAAATTTTGCCAGTTTTATTTCTAATGGTACAGTGAGAAGAAAATTTGTTACTCCACTGGCAAAACTACCAACACAGAATACATTAACTGACATAGCTTACAGTTTAGAGCCTTAAATTGGCCCTATCTGTTTAAAGGTGACTTCAGGCTCATGCTATGGTCACAATGATCACTATACTTCTACTCTAGTACAGTACCTGTAGAGCACAGATAGTGCAGTGGTAAATACTAGAAAATTAAGAACTTAATCTCAAAGTAATGCTAAGTTAATCACGTTGTATATTTTCTGATGTATGTTTAAGTAAATATTAATTATAGTAATGATGTGTTTCAAAATCAGCATGAGAATGTGAAATAAAATAGAAAGAGATGTGTTCAAGGGAGCAAAACAGAAAAGAGATTCATTTTTTCTTACATTTCAGTTATTTTCCATTTATGTTGCACTTGTGTTTTAATTATTCTAGTGTTTTAAAACACTCTTCTAATATTTAATCTATTCTGAAGTTTCTTTTATGTAATTTTAAGAAGATTTTTAGACTGAAATTTCTGAGATTATGCACTTTGCAGGTATCTACTGGCTTAGAAGTTGTTTGAAGCATCTCAGAATTACCTTTGGAAGGATTACAGAAATTTTCTTCAACAAAAGCTATAAGCTCAAAGGGTTTATGAAAATATTGTTGCAGATACTGCCATGATATAATTCTGTTATCAAATTAGAAGGTGCCCAAGTGCTTCCAATATTGATGATAAAGCTTCCAATTATTTGATTGTCAGCTCTTACATTTTATACTTTTTTTTTCTAAATGACATGTTACAGAATGGCAACTTACAGAAAACCATCTCACTTTATCTTAAAAAAGTCCAATAAAAATACACAATATTTCAAATTAATTCCATACATGAAGGCTTCTTTGCATAAAAATTAAAATCACTATTCCTCCATATAGCATTCAATATTTTTTCCAGTCAGATAGGCAGGTAGAAAGCTCTACTGTGTTCATATGACATTACCCTTGATAACAATTCTTCCTGTCTACTGTGCAACATTATTTTGGCATAAGTCTTCCTTTGCGGTTAATTATTTATTAATTATCCATTAATTATCCATTAATTTTCATAAAAGAAGAAAGTTCATGCTAATATACTTGCCTACATTAACATAAAATCTTCCCTTGCACTGTTCTATATTTGAGCTTTCAGAGGCATTGCTTGACTTAATCTTGTGACTAAGAAATACTTTTCTAAGAAGCCAATGTTTTCTGGAAACATTTTACTTCGGTTTATTTTTCATAGTGTCTTCTTGAACCTGAGTCATAATGAACTGTTGGAGTAATTCTAATGTGTTTTTCTTTCACATAATCATCCACATTTTTGTTTTAATATGAATTATATGTCATCCTTTCCATCACATGAAGTCCTACTAATATCTCATAAATGTGTGTAATTTAAAGGCGATTTTTATGTACATGAGTACATGAAATGTACCTGTTAAATTAGGTTATTATTGTCCTCTTAAGTTCAAAATGCATCTGTCAAAACAGTAGGTACCCATTTTCCCCCACAGTGCTGTGATTTACAACCTACTTCTTTTTTGTGACACCTGAAAGGTTTATTTGGTTGTGAGGAGTTTATAGCTGAATTTCAAGAAGTGTTTCTAATGCGTGTTGTGTAGTTACCACAAAAGGAATAAGATTAAATGTGTAAGGTTCAACTGCACAGCAAAAAAATCCTGGATCGTCACAATTTAAAAGAAGCATCACATGAATATTAAGAAAGATATAAGAGGCAGTGCTTTGGTTTTGAACACTTGAATTTTGCTTATGCTTTTCTTAAATTTTTTTTTTGTCTGTGATTAAAGAAATTTGAACAGTTTTGGACAATAGCAAAAGGCTACTCAGAAAGAAAATTTAGTATTTAATTATATTTTGTTCAATTCTGGATCTGGGTAAAATGTGAATTAATATTAGTCATTTATGTTTTTGTCACAGGTGTTTAATTTCTTCTACAATCTAATCACTGATATGCCTTATTATAATTGCCAAGTTCTGTTCTGCAGTTCAAACCAGAAAAATGGGGGTGGATCTTTTGTCCATGTGACATTTGGTAAATTTGTCACAAAATTATCTATGCTGAATCTAAGCAGTAAATAGAAATTTTTATTTTCACCAATGTTCTCTTCTAGATATTTTAGATTTAAATGTCTGAAGCAAAACATCTTGAGGCAAAAACCATTTATATTTCATTATAAAATGTTTAAACTAATTCTTTCAATATTTGCAGAGTGACAGTTTCATCAAACAAGTTTTGTTTGTCTTTTATTCAGTGGTAAACTACTTAATCTTGTTTTTCAATAAATTCTATCTAGAAGGTGTTTTATCGTTTATTTCTAAAATTGTGTGTATTTCAGTTCTGTATTGTGTGTGGCTTTTTGTTCTCTTTCCAAGAGCAGCTCTTATCCCGAGTTGCTGTTAGTGTTAGCTATGAGTATTCATTTGAGTTAACTGTATACATGGGTTTTCTTTTTTTATAATCAGTGATTAAACTCAATTAACTTAGAGTAAATATGAGATTTATTTTAACTAAGTTTGGGGTTTATTCAATAGTGGAATGCACTATTCCCACACTCCCATATTGACTCCACATTTCCTTTCAAAGAATTGATGTCTGCATTTTGGCAAGGAGCTGATGTACACTCCATGAGATTGTCTCTTTTGCACTGTCAGAATCCAGACAATTATTTTTCAAGATATTTGTATTCTCAACTCCTGCAGCTGATTCCTCGCTAATTCCTTGGATGTACAACTCTGAAAAATCATCCAAGCTTTTGACATTGTTGTTTTTCAGAAGTGTCATATTGTCTGAAGTGCCAATAGGGAAAACAACTCCATGTGTATAAGAATATTTTTAACTTTTATGTGGATGAAGTGTATTGCAGATTGTTCGAGTAATTTCTGGAGTCTGCTATTTACTTGCTTGCTTGTTTGGTTATTTTTAACTTAGCACAAATTCAGAGCAGCTTCTAGTCATAAAATCTATCTTGGATATTGCTGGATCAAAAGCAATCTAAAAAGTGATGCAATTTAATTTTAATAACTGCAATGGCAATAAATGTATTGTTACATTTAAACATACTACTTTTCAAAACAGTATTGTTGAGTTTAACTGTGCTTTTTAAATTCAGTTGCAAAATTGACTATTGATTTGCCAACCTAGGGCTGTCAAGAGCAGACTCATGCATATTCTTTTTGCCTTGCTCAATTCTGCTTCACAAAAGACATGCATAAAGGTGAATTTTAAATCAAAGTAGGTTGCTCTGTGTCTTTGGGAACAGACCAGCCTATTGAACAGGTTATTTCTCACCAATTTCTTTTTAGCACTTGGACCAGGAGCTTGTGTTTCAGCCCTCAGTTGTATCTCAGTTCTGTGCTTGTGCCACCCACATTTGATTGTCTGTCATTTCAGTAGGAGTCTAATTGCTTTATTGATTCTCTTTGTAGCAATCCCCTGGCTTTACCGATTGCCAAGCAAGACAGTTTGCTGGAGAAAGATACCATGTTCAAAGACGCAGCTAAAGGCTTATGTAAGCAGCAGTCTCAAGACAGTGCATCTGAAAATATCCCTGTGAACACCACAACCAAACTTGAGCAGGTAACAGCATGCAGTGTCCTGAATCTTCATTAGTACTTTAGGTCTGGAAATTGTAAGCTTAATGAAGCTGAAGACCAGAGTATTTTTTTTCCTTCGCCATACACCAATACCATTTGCACTGTGGAGCCCTGTCACCTTGGTCACTCCCTGCAGCCTGGCCCTGCAGTTTTCCCTGCCAATTGAACAGCTGCTTCCTGCCAGCTCCTGGTGGCAGGGCAGGGGCTGTGGGGAGGGCTCAGAGCCCCTCGCACTCTATTCATGGGTCACAACAGGAGAGGGACAACTGTTGGTGCTGCCCAGAGCGTGTGCTTGTGCAAACTTCGAGTTAACAAAAGAAACGCAACCTGGGAGACTGAAAAAACAAAAAGAATGTCTAAGGAGTGTCAAGTTGCATAGTAAGTGTAATTCAAAGCTAGGAACTGCCAGATTTACAGCTGCAGTGTTGACTCCCTTTCTTGTGGTAATGCATTACATTATCAGCACTGATTATTTGCATACCCTTTACAGTTTCTCCATACGAGGACAATCTCATTCAGTATATAGGATGAATGCAAAAGGAGGCAATTATCTATTGCTTATAAATCTAACAGGTTTGAATATTTAGGACTTAATTTTGTTTTCAGGTTTTTCTTTGTGTTTGGTTTGTTTTGTTTTTTATTTTGTTTGGATTTTTTTGTGATACAAAGGGGTTTTATCAGAAAATACATGCATTTGGAAAAGACATATTCCAGAAATATTTTGCCATTTATGCAAAAGCTACTTTAGAATCAAGGGGATGGAGGAGGGGAGTATTTCCATTAAAAATAATTTACTGAATTTGAAGCGTAACAAAGGAGTGAGATATTGGTTTGATTTAAGCCACGTTTGGTTCAAAAAAGCTGCATCTCTGTCTTGGCAGAAGAATCCATGCTCCACTGCTTTTTATTTGGATGCGTTTCAGAGAAATGGCTTGATCATACGAGATCAATCAGTGCATCCATATGTAAATGATATGAGTCAGTCTGGGAAAGAGCTTCAGCTCTGGAATCCTGTGGCCTGCTCGGTTCCCTATGCAGTCAAAAGATGCCACAACATGTTTTGCACTTGGCTTACATCTTGTTTTCATGTCATGCAGTTTCTGATGTTGCTGACTGACGTGATTATATGGAAACTGTCATTCCAAGGGACAAGCACTGCTGGTCAGAAAAATGAATGCTTGCAACCCTTTAAGGAGGAATCCTCCTATAATTGTAGGAAAAGAGAGGGGAGTATTTAGCTTATGGTCTTGCCAAGACCATTGCTTGCTCCTAGATGTTCAACAGAAGTGTGTACAAGAACACAGATACTACTTTCTGCTTTCTTTGGATGTAAGCCTAGTCAAAATTATTCAGGTTTTCATTATCTCTAAGCTAAACTTTTGCTTTATAGTTCAAGCACTAATACACAGAAACAGATTGGAATAAGAACAGGTAATCTTCCAGGCGAAAATGAGCAAACAGAAGTCTTGATGCTGGTAATTTCATTCCCCACCATGACTTTGAGTCTTCTCAGGGTCCCAGGGCTGATTTCACCATATTGTTTCACCATACTACAGTGGAACTTCCCACAATAATTACAATTCAAAGACAAAAGAGCAGACTTAAAGCAGACTTTTACCTCTTTTATTTGAGAAATTTCTGCAGGAAGCAGTCTGAAATTCTGCTCTAAACATGCTAGGAGTGTGTATCATATGTTTTTTTTAGAAACAGGGAAAACTAGAAAGTATCTGTAGTTGCTGAATTTGGAGTGATTCTCCCTAGCATGGAAGGATAGGTAGAATCCTGTCTGAGAAATTATGATTAACAGAGGATAGGTTAGAAATGATGCTATTTTGGTGAGTTTTTGAATGACTGGTTGCCTTAGAAAAGAATTAATACAACTTTTCAGTTTGCAAGGGCTTAATGAGCTTTAGCTCTTTTGAAGGAAAGAGAGTAAACTATTTTAATCATTTCAGGAAACAGTTAAATTTTAGGAAAATAAAGAGTCCCTGGACTCTGTCAAATTAAAATATGTAATATTTTTTCTTTTGATGTAATTGTGATCATGGAAATAGAGGGATTGTATTCTGTACTACTTGCCATACATTATGAACTTCAGGTATCTATGTATCATATATGTATTTATCTTAATAATATTTAGACCTTAGTTTTCAAAGATTAAATGTATCCATATAACACTTTTAAAATTAATATTATTTTTTAATTTCACAACTTGGGAAGTAAAGTTTTTATTTAGTGGTGATACCAAAGGAAGTCTTTGAACAACCCCTTCCCACTGTTCCTGCCTTTTGGATATCCTAATTCTAATGAGTTTCTAATGAGTTGTCTTTTATTCTTACCAGTTGCATTCAAACTACACTCAAAGTAATCATGTCTGTTTAATTTTTCAATAGATTTTGTGGAGTCATTACTTGGATTTTATGTTCATATATTATTGAAATATATCAGGAGGATATTTTGTATGCTTTATGTCAGAAACACCACACATTCCTAGGCAATATGGCATGCAGATTAGGCATTTATTGGGGGATCAAAAAGAAAAGTTTCATCCTAGCACATTTCAGATATGCATTTTTAATAGAAAAAGCCTGTAACTTTTTTGGTTTGGAAAGAAATCACTGTTCAAATTTATATGTCGCCTCAGGTTTTTTTAATTGCAAAAATTATGAAAAGGAGCCTTATTATTTCCCATGAAGATTTTTATTTCTTGAAGTATAGGAGATGGAGATGAAGTGACTAGTTCAATAGCACTTTCTGGATCTTTCTTGGCTGGTATTAGCTTTTGCTTTTTTCCTAAGTAAAAGGTGGTCTTTGATCATCAGTAATGTCAAGATCTGTACTGTCAAACAAAGAAAACAGTATGAATAATTTCCAGAATTCTATCATATTCTCAATTTCTCTTCCTGTCATTTGGGAAGGATATTTTTTAATAGCAGATTCAAATTATGGCTTGGAATTTAATTAAATGCTCTGTGCTGCAAATAAATATAAATTAAATATTTTCTTTCTCTTAATTGAGTATTTTTTAAAAAAATAAAATTGTCTTATGGTTCTTATTTATGTATTGTTGGCCACATGAACGGTATGATGGAGTATCCCCTGATGCCCTTTTGATTGTTCCAGTATCAGTTATGAGACAGACCAGGCTCAGCTGTGCATAGGATAATATTACACATGAAAGCTGGGCTGTATATATATTTCAGTGACACAAATATGTAAAAAAAAAATATATATATATATATATAATTAAATAATACATATAACTATAAAACTAGATATAACTAAAGACTGTTGTATCAGCAGATTCTGAATGTTGTTAAGTGTATGCAATTTAATAGAGTAAATAGAAATCTTCATTGTAAGCATTACAAAAATCTAAAAACTAATCATTCCCAGAGGCTTAATTATATTGGAACTTGTGCTGTGTGCATGGCTATTTTTCTTTTATGTCTCATAACATATACATCATGCAATTAGAATGATAGCCAGATAGATGCATTGAGATAAAAAACACATCTGCATGGTCAGATGAGAATGGAAATTTAAGGTGCCCATAAACAGGATATTAATAATGTACATAATGTTTACTGTAAAGTCAAATCAGTTATGAGGTAAAGGGATTTAGAGTTTCTTATTTCTATGTGATTATTTGCTTGTTGAACTATGAAATTTGATGCAACGAGTCAGGTAGAAAATGCTGAAACACCAAATCCTAAACTAAAAAAGAGCTGAAAAGATTTTGGCTTCATTACTTGAAGTTTATTGAGCACTTCACATTTCTAACCATACCTACAGAACGAGGATTTTTTGACCATGCCTTGATTATGAAATAAATGCAAGCCAGTGCCTGTTTGTTGCCCTAGGGCTTTGTGGGATGAGCCCATAAACATCTGTAAGGCAAAATCCTTCTCCCTCCAGAGTTGGGGCCGTGCCCAAATGACCTATGGGAAATTATTATTGTTATGTGACCTGAATGATATCCAGGTTTCATCTGCATGAGTGCTAGCTGATAGAAACCAGGAATGTATAAGGAAGTGTGCTAAAAAGTTCAGAAAATATGGAGAATCCCAGAGCAGTACTTTTATAAAAACCTTGCTTTTATTTACAAATACATAGCAGAGGTTTAATCTTTGTAGAGGTAGATTAAAAGAAGCTCATTCTGTGGCACAGATGTTCTGAGTTTTGATAGAACACAAGGGAGTGCAGAGAAGGCTGATGCCTGTTTTGTTCCTGCATGCCAGGTGAGCACACTATGAGGGAAAAGAGGCCACAGACTTGTCTCTCTGCTGTCTTTCTACAAGACATTTAAAAATGTTCTTGGAATTCTTTTGTTAATTGTTTTCTATTCCAATGTACATCATCAAAGACAAATGCCAAAATGTAATTTCATTTTTTGTTTTGCCAAGTGGAATTCTTTTTTTCTAGTCAACTATACATCCAACTGCCATGATTAAAAACAAAAAGATGAAGAAATGGCTTCTTCTGTGTAACAGAGGAATCTTCATTCACTTCAGCAGGGTGAGGAGCAAACCTCTCCAATAGGTAGACATACACCTGTAAGGCACAGGTAGTGAAATCAGAGTATCAGCTTTTCTGAACTTGACCTTGAGCTTATGGCAACTGAGTTGCAGCTTAGAAGTTCTGTGTCAGGTCCCCACTACTAAACACAAGTATCCATGGTCTTTGGGCTCTCCCCCATGACAGAAGCATGCCCCATGTTCACTCCAGGACCTCCCAGTCTGCTTCTGCCACTGATCTTCTGTCACTGACAAAAAAATGAAGATGCTGAGGTGCTCACCAAAAGAGGACAGTGTCTGCTTTTCTCCTGAGCCTTCATTTTAAGTAGAACAATAGAAGAAAGTGGTTTCATCTTGATTGTCCATTCTCAAAATAGACCCTGAGTTATTACAATAAACTATGAACAAACTACTATTGCTGTTCACATGAGAATTTTCTGTTTCTGGGTGTTTTGCTGACATAAAAAATGAATCAAACTACATTTTAAGTGTAGATCATTATTTATAAGCACACTGCTTAATGTGTCAGTGTTTATTTTGTCTTTAATCAAATTTCCATTATCACTGATTCTGTCTTCTGCCTCCATTTGAAGTGTAGAGCATTATTTATAAGCACTCTGCTTAATATATAGTGTTTATTTTGTCTTTAATCAAATTTCCATTATCACTAATTCTTTCTTCTTCTGTCTTCTGTCTCAGTCTTTTTTTGTTTCATTAGGTTTTTACTTGCCCTTGCAGACTTTATATTATTCACCTTAATCTCAAAGGTGTTAAGCAATTTCACTCACCCGTTTTGACTAAAGTGGACTCTTCTGATTGTCTTCTGGTTTCCATAACAACACATTTCCAATTTCTTACTAACTTACTTCTATTCTGCAAGAAAAATTCCAGTACAATTTCAAATCTCATATGATAAAGAATGGTCTGAGAGCTTTGTTAAATACTGTAAGACATACTTTACAAGTCCACAAATTTCTTGATTTCTTCTGCTATAAACATTTAATGAAGAGAGCAGGAAAATTACATTTAATCTGGGAAGCTTTATGGGTTTAAGGATTGCAAATGGCACTCTGGTATGTTCTGTATCACACAATTATACACCAGAACATTGATAATAATTTTTATATTCTTCCCTTGATTAAGATTAATGATGTGGATTTATTCAGAAGTGACAACTTTCTGGTTTCCTAATGCATTTTTCTTCCGTAAATTCTAGTGGTCTTGGATTATACTGCAAGTTAGAACATTATGGTACAGAATGATTGATTGTGAAGTTACTTCATTTCTCTAATCTGTATTTTCTAGATCAAGCTAATGCCTCCAGCTCCAAATGATGACCTGGCTTCTCTGAGTGAGCTAACAGACAGCAGTCTGCTTTATGAGATTCAGAAGCGTTTCAACAATAATCAGATATATGTGAGTTGCTATTCACCTATCAATAGTAAGCTTTCACAAAAGACCAAAGAGAGAATAGGAAAAACAGGATTACTATCATAACCTCTAGACAGTAACCTATCCCGACCTCATTGCTAGTTTTAAATGGATGAGGACGTGTGTGTAAGCCCTTCAATTCCTCGAGTTTGTGTAGGAAAAGGAGAAATAAAAAATGGAATATCACTTCAGACAGGTTGAATACAATTTATGTGTGTTTTTGTCATGGAGGAAGTAAGTTGGTAAACACTGATGCACACACTTGTCATGAATGAGTGTTTTAAGGTTGCTCAGATCACACTGTAGTTGGGGCAGGACTGCACCACCATGATTTGTAATCCTACTGAAACCACCAAAAGAGCCTTCCATTTTCAATGCTATGTTAATTTAATAGAGCATGATTACTGGAAATGTAAAAGAAATTTAGATTTTTAAAAGCTTAGAATTCAGCATGAGAGATTTAATTATTAATTTCTTCCAGCATCAGAGAAATAATTATATTATAATGTTAATCATCTAGATATCAGAAGAAATTTTTCTGTTGCTGTCCATATCTTACCCCTAACTTAATACTAACTTACTGAACAGCTGAGTGGGATGTAAATGTGAAACATGCCTATTATTTTTAAATTTATAAATTGATTACACTCTTTAGACTAAAGGAATACGGGGAACTGTTATGTTGCTGTGAATCCTTCTGAAATTATGGGAACCTCAGTTTTAGATGCTGTGGCATTAAATGGTAAAAAAAATTCTGGGGTTTGGAATCCTGGATCAAGTGCTAAAAATACTAATTATATGAGCATTTATTTTTTCATCTCACTTCCAAAGATACCAGATAACTTAAACTGAATTCATGATGATCCACAGAGGAAGTATTTTATTTTAAGATACTGAAGGTTGCACCTGAAAGCATCTTCTGTAATTCTCCTAGCCTAGAATTTGTAGGCAGTGATCACTAATAATCTGCTCAACAGTAACCACTGTGCTTTGGTAGAGCATCAGTGCTGAAGATGCTTTCATCTTGACTTGGTCTTAGACTTAAAAGGAAAAGTCCTTGGACTCCAAGTCCCAAGCCAAAGTCCTCATTAGGACTAAGCAATTCCTGTTTCATGGTTTTTTTTGAAGCTTTATAAAGATTCATTCCACTGGAACACCTAACAGTGAAGTCAGGATGAATGAGAGAAAGGAAATAAATTGATGCATTTTAGAAGGAAACCGGTACATTTACCATGAAAGACAATATTTTCCACCTCCTGAAATCAAAATGGAACTACTCACATGATGCTTTGCTGTCTGACCTCTTCAGAGACACAAGTCTGGTAATTTTTGCATTCTAAGAGAGTAATATAGCAGCAGCTATTTATGTGGAGTGCAAAGTATAGCAGCAAGAATGACCTACAATCTTACACTTAAGTGCATAGAATTGTAGAATGGTTTGAGTTGGAAAGGACCTTTAAGGTCATCTGGTTCCAACTCTCCTGCCATGGCCAGAGACATCTTCAAGTACAAGATGTTGAACTCAGAGCCCCATCCAACCTGTCCTTGAACATTTCTGGCATGGGTCATCCAGAGCTCCTCTGGGCAGCCTCTACTAGTGCCTCAGCACTCTTACAGTAAAGATTTTTTTCCTATTAGCTAAACGAAGTCTTCTCCCTTTCATCTTGATACCATTCCTCCTCCTTCTGTCACTAGAGCCCCTGATAAAGAGCCCATCCCTATCTTTCTTGTGAGCTCCCTTAGGTATTGGAAAGTTGCTGTAAGTTCTCCCTGGAGCCTTCTCCAGGCTAAACAATCTCAGCTTTCTCAGCCTATCTTCACAGCAGAGGTGCTCCAGGCCTCTGATCATCTTTGTGGCCCTCATCTTGTCCCAACAAGTCCATGTCTTTCCTGTGCTGAGGATCCCATAGGAGGATGCAGCCCTGCAGGTGGGCTCTCACCAGAGCAGAGCAGAGGGGCAGGATCTCCTCCCTCACCCTGCTGCCCACGGGGCTTGTGGTGCTGCCCAGGACACAGCTGGCTTTGGCACAAAGGACACTGTGCTGGCTCATGTCCAGCCTCTCATCCATCAATAACCCCAAATATGAAATAGTAAAACCTTGCAAACTTGCAGTTGTTAGATGGTTTACTCTTTCTGATATGGTCAGGATAGTTTTTCTAGATGCATGCTCATATGTTGCTATACACAAACACTTGCATAAAGAGTTATATATGTATCAATTCCTCCATCTTGCTCCACAAGCAACAAATTTAATGTATTATCTCTGGATAACCAGTATAACATTTCTAAATTATGTCATCTATTCCATAATAAATCACTTGAGGAGCTTGTTTATGTGGTAGGCACGCCAGGAGTTAGACTTGATGATCCTTGTGGGTCCCTTCCAACTCAACAGCTTCTGTGATTCTGTGACATTTTTGTAGTTTAGCAAGTGGTAAGTTACAAATTAACTGCCAAATAATCTACCAATAATATATGTAGTGCAATTTTTCTCTGCATAATTTTCAGTTATGAAGAATTCAATTTTATTACAAAAATACTAATTAATTCTGTTCGAAATGTAAATTTAGCTCGAATTCAAACTGTGGAGTTAAAAGCTCAGAATTCATTAATTATGTTTAGCATGTTGTTTGCTAGATTTAAGAGGCTTTGCTGAGAATTCTTTTTGGAAGAAAGCCATTAGCGTCCTTAAAAATTCAATTTATTACTTAATAAAGCAATTATATCTTCTTTTTTTCAGACCTACATTGGTGATATACTGTTGCTTGTGAACCCATTTAAAGAACTTCCTATTTATTCTACCATGGTAAGCATTCTCTTTTTAAAAGTTTGCAGATATTTTTTTCACAATTCATATAGTTCATTTAATCAGCCAAACCCCTAAAATTAATTAATGTATATGCCTGTTTTATGTAGGGAGCATCTTAGTTTTAGTATTTTAGCAAAACCTTAAAAACTTCTTCCCAGATACAAAACAGCCATCTTGATAATGCTTTGAATGAGCAGGAGCTCTTTTGTTTTTTTAAAAATAGTTGTTGATGACTGTGGTGGTTTTTGCCACAGTAAAACTTATAGATGTAGATGAATACCCTTGCCCAGAACATGATTATGGAGACAACAGCCTTGGATGTTGCACAAAGGCTCAGGATGTCTGTGTGTGCTCCACACCAGATCTGGGGGACACTGTGCAGCACGAGCTGAGCACTGCCCTGGGCCAGGCTCAGGGAGCGTTTGGGCAAGGGGGATTGAGCCATGTGAAAACATTCAAGTGTTTTGGTCTCTCCTTCATCTTCATCCAGACATTTCAGAGATACAGTGTTAGTTATAAATGTTATTTTATCCTCCCCTCTTATCATCTCATTGATGCACTGAGAACACAGAGCTCAGCCTCCCTGATAGGGAGTGTTCAAATATATCAACTTACAAGAATTAAAAAGGGTTTAAAATTTGGTAAGCAAATTGTAATTTGTGCCTGTTTGCTGTATCATGTGGCTTTGTGTGTAGTAGTAAATCTGATAGAAAGAAATGCTGTGACGTTCATGGTAGGACCAGCAGATTCCAAGTTGGGAGTCTGAATTTATTTCTAGAAATGGAAATCATCCATCATCCCCAAGGTTTCAGATGATTGTATTTTTTCTGTCACTATATATTTTATATTAGATACATGATTTTGTGCACCAAAAGAGAACTGTAAAGAGAAAGAATTTACATATTAAAATGTTTCCTGAATATTTGCTGCATCTTCTCTGTGATAGATCTATTTAATTAAGTTCATCATGAGACTCTTTTTGTCCTGTAATTGTTTGGGTCACCTTGGATAATAATTGCTTTCACTTCATCATTGTAGTCTGCACACGGCTGTGCATTGTGCAGGTATTTCCCAGATGTCAAGAAACCACGGTTGTAAAACCACTTTGTTTTTTAAATGCTCCAGTGTCCTCCAGCAGCTTAGCTGATATTGTGTTAAAGTCTCTGAGTGTTAGATGGTCTATGTATTAAAGTAATAACAAATGATGATGTCAATTCCTCACTAAATGCTGACATGCAATATGATGTGGCTCATTAGTTAGCATTTTTGTTTCAGGTATGTAGTTTGTTAGCTGTCAAAAAGAAAAGGAATGCCAACTTGTATTGATCATGATACTATTTTTAAAACGAGGATGAAGCAATGAAAATATTATCATATATATCTTTTAATAACAGTGACATTTAGTTTCCTTCTTTTTTAAAATATACTGTATATAGCTTCTCGACAAACAATTTTATTATTGTGACAGCCCACACTTTGTTCCAATAGAATACTACTAAAATAAATATTTTATAAGCAATTGTTCACTCTGAAATGACATAAAGTATCACACACTCTGAGATGACATAAAGTATCACACATTAATGGACACTGATGTACTTTTCTTCTTAAAAATTCAATGCAATTGCTAGATCATAATATTATTGCATTTTTACATGGAAATACAGTGCACAGCTACACATTATAATAGCATTATACAAGGAACATGCAAGTACAACTTTGACGGTATCTTAGTGACTGTAGAAGTGCTCGAGTTGTGGTCATGCTGCTTTGTTACATTCCTCCAGAATTTACATGTGCCCAATTAGGACAAATATTTTCTTGAAGTTCATGTTCAAAAAATGTAAACTTGCAACATTTTGCATTGAGCATACTTGCGTGAAGGTTTTTCTTTGTACTTTGTGACATTCTGAAATGATTCCTGGAGAATTGTTATGGATTTCATTTTTTTTTTTTTGGTCTTGTAGTCCTGAAGTTCTGACTGAGGGCCGCCAGACAAAAAAACATATTGTGGAGGATTCATTCACCTACAGTGTTGTAGATACCCCAGGACTGAATACTTTAATATCTAAATAAATAGGACAAGCATGGGAAAGGAAGGGGTGATACATCAGGATACCCTCAGAAAAAAACAAACAAACAAACAAACATGGTTTCTCTAACAGATAATTTGATTTACTCAGGCTTCAAGGATAGTATATGTTGCCATCTATGCGTGTCAGGAGCTATTCTGTATTGCAGAGAGAGTATTTGTGGGAGACTGCTCTGTCATGTAATAAATTAATTAGTTTATAACCTATTCCTTTGATTCGAATTTTAACTTTTCATGGGATGTTCATATTTCATTTTGGAAATTTTCGAGTCAGGACATTGAAAAACTATATATGTAATGTATTAAAAAGTATCTTACTAGGTTTTGTTTTACTTAATGCACAAACCAATACTGTTAAGTCCTCTAATTATGTTTCATGTTGTATCTTAATTCGATTTTCTGTGTCTAAAGCTCTATTTTCTGTAATTAAGATCTTCATGGCCCTTGTAAAGGTGTCACTTCTATACATAGTGAGATTCTGTTCATAATGCTTAGAAAACTTTACAAAAGACCCAAGATTAAGGGTGTGAAACATAATTGTTTTGAAATGTATTTATCCTTTTAATTTTCTACAATTTTTCAGGTCACCCAGCTTTATTTAAGTAACTCTGGAAAACTGTGTTCCTCACTTCCCCCACATATATTTTCCTGTGCTGAAAGAGCTTACCACATGCTATTCCAGGAGCAGCGTCCCCAATGCTTTATCCTCAGGTGAAAATTTATCTTTCTATTAATTAATTTGTACCTCCTGCCTTTCAGCCATTTCCCTTGGGCCTCAGCAGTTGAGATTTCCATTTTATTTTTTTCTCTAACTGATTTTTTTCTATGTACTGATCTCTGTATCATACATTAGAGCAACATAGAAATGAGAAAGGTTTAATTACATCTCAAGTTCATAAATTCTCTTGGGCAATTGCCACTCCATGTAGTTGCATCTAATTAGGAACAAGAGTTAATGGTAAAGAATTCAAAACTGCTGTGTGTGTTTGCTAATATTACATGAATCAGGATTAGAAATAGAATCTAGTGACAAAAAAATGATAAGTCCTTGACTGAATTATAAACCTCTGTGGTGAGGCGCCTGTATTGGTGCTTGCACTTGGCCTCATGTGCCTGTGTGACCATGAATTTGCTCTTTAGCTCTCCAAGCTCAAAATGGATTTTAAAATGGACTTTAGCCTTTAACATTTATTCACAGTGTTTTTAAACGATAAATAACTCCAAGATCGTGAGTAAATGTATTAGTAATCTGTGAAAAATGGTTTTATAATGGTGAAATTTGGCATTCAGTTGGAATTTTTTAATCCCTAAATCTATTAATCCTTCTTTTCTCAAACTCTCTGAAAGCAGTGAGTCTGGTGAATTTGATGTACTCAAAGAAATTTGTTGCTCAGTCTTATAACTTTTCTATCCTTTCACACTTTCATTTCTTCTGAATCTTTAATCTTAATATCCTCCACGGGATTAAAGAATCAATGAGATTGTAAAAGACCTTTGAGGTCATCAAGGCCAACCTTTGACTGAACAGCACCTTTCAACTAGACCATGGCACTGAGTGCCGTGTCCAGTCATTTCTTGAACACCTCCAGAGATGGTGACTCCACTGCCTCTCTGAGCAGCCTGTTCCAATGTCTAACCACCCTTCCTGAGAAGAAATCCCTCCTGATGTCCGACATAAACCTCCCCTGATGCAGCTTGAGGCCATCTCCTCTTGTTTTGTCACTGCTTGTCTGGGAGAAGATGCCGATCCCCACCTGGCTGCCGCCTCCTTTCAGGCAGTTGTAGAGAGCAATGAGATCTCCCCTGAGCCTCCTTTTCTCCAGGCTAAACACCCCCAGCTCCCTCAATCCTTCTTCATAGGTCCAAACCCTTGACCAGCTCTGTTGTCCTTCTCTGGAGTCAGCACTTGAATGTACTTTCTTGGAGTGAGGAGACCATAAATGGACACAGGACTTGATGTGTGGCAAAGCTTGTTACCATTTTACAATATTTTTCCCCAGTCATTTCACATCAGATCAAAAGTTCACTCACTGAAATAGAGTGTTTTACAACAGAAAAGCATTTGGCCAAATCACTGAAGAACTCACTATCAGTTATTCACAATTATTTTCAGTTTGTAGCAAGCCAGCTTTACTTATGTATGCTTAACACCATCAGCTATCTTCATATAAACTTCTAATGGAAGTTACAGAATAAAATTATGTTATTAGTTATGCTCTTAAATAGCCAGTAGGTGGATTTTCATAATTAGCTTCCTTTTGACTGCATTTTGCTCCTGCTTTCCAGGAGATGAAAATACATTAAGCACTGACAAGATAAGTAAAGAGCTGTCTAGGGAGCCTAAATATAGTCCTGTTAAAAGCTACGGATTCTTAGTAAATCAAACCAAAGATTTATGGCATGCTGATGGCTAATTCTGTGAGTCAAAAAGTCATAATGAATACATAAAATGAAATGGTCTAGCTTGTTAACAGCCAGGAGTGCCAATATCCAATGATACCATTGTGATACAAATCACACTTTTAAGCCAAATAATCTGGAGTGCAGAGAAGTCCTTGTGTTTTACGGTGGAATGCATTGAAAGCTTTGGATTTCCTCAGTTTAGCATCACCAAAAGCATTCTGTTTAATTTAACATTTAATTTTTGAAAGTATAATTCTATGTATTTTAAATACAATGGGCTGCTGCAGTAAAGTTACAGATTAGTATTAAAACATTGTTTAGAAATACATAGTCCAATTTAGGTTAATCTTAGAAATATAATTTCCAACTAGCATGAAAGAGTAATCAGTTACAGACAATATTACTGATAGTATAAAACTCATTCTTTTGTATTTAACAGATTTGCTTGCACTTATTTGTTTCAAATCTAGAAATCTCAGTCACTGGGAGGAAGAATCAGTGTCTCACATACTCTGAAAATGTAGAAGAAATAATTATTCTAACCCCCAAATGTGTGCAAACTTAGTCACACTTCCCTGGATATATCTTACTATATTAATGGGAATTTGGAGTAGTAATGCTCACTGTAGTACAATAAGAGATTAGTTTCAAAAGTTCATGCAGAGCAGCACGACTCTCTTCCTTTAAATCTGGTGGAAATCTTATATGAGCACATTCTGTCAGCATTTTTTCATCATTTCTAATTATAGTTCAAATACTGCATGAGTAAAGTTTCTTGTTAAGTATTCCTGCACTTCTGAGTGTGGTACCTTTGGTCAGAATTGAAAATGAAGTGCAGAAAATAAAACCCTGTCATTTGTGTCATCTGAAATGATAGGTTATATTGCTCCTTCCCTGTTTTGTATTTTGTCATATTTCCCCTAAATAGATGATTTATATAATTTTTTTATAATGGGATTGTTGCTTACCAAACGATCCAATAATGATCCAGTGTTCTGAAATCATAAAGTTATAGACAAACCTGCCTCATATGCAGAAACTGGAGGTAAGCAAGTACTTCTCTGTACTTGCAGAAAGTAATTCTTAAAGATTGCCTGGGTTGGCTGTTTTCAGACTCTTTTATCTAGGCTTCCTTGATTAATATTGCCATATGATGGTTCTGTCTGTCTCTAAGTCCCCCTCCAGGCAGTAGCTTTTGAACCCGGTGGGCACCAGCAGCAGTGGTGGCCTCAGAGCTGGGTGCTCACACCGGCTTTGTGGGTCTGGGGGGTCATGACAAAGGCAGGTGGAACTCCAGCCTCAGCTCTTCACAGCAAGCACAGGCACAACACAGAGCTCTCCAGCCTGAGGGACACAAGCAGCCCTGCTAGACCAGCACAAAAAAGCAAAAGAGCTGGATGATAACCCAAATGCCATGGATTTGACAGATGTAGCTTCATTAGTTCCCCTGGGTTTATCATGTCTCATGTTCTTTGCTTCACGTGACTTTGTGTTTTCACACTTTCAATTGGTCTTTTTCCTTACAAATTTAGATTTTTTTTTTTAATTTCAAAACATACCTTATTTTTAAATTATTCATAGTATTTGAATATAGAAAGATTTGAGCTCTAATTAAGGTTTTATTAAAAAAATATATAGAGTAATGGTAGGAAACAAGCCCTCCATCAGGTAGTTATAAAGAAAAGCTAGAACAAAAAATAAAGTGAGGTAACTTCATGGACTTGCCTAAAGCCCTATGTGAGCATAAGATTTCAGATTTTCTATTCATTTTCCTTTCCTTTAGAATACACTGTTTCTAATTTCACCTTTTTTACCAGTGAAATAAGCCTTCTTTGCCTGTTCCATAATGCCTTCTAAGTAAATATTAGTGCAGAAGAATGCTTTTTTGCCTTGATGTTAACTTAACCTTCACCTTGATAAGGCAGTTCAAACAAAAGTTCTAAGAAACCAACATTCATATTGTAAATCATATTTTGAAAAATAGAGTGATGAAACAACTATTTAAGAGAGAAAACTGGAAGTATTCTCTAAGCAGCATTAAATTGCTAGAGCAAAAATATTGCAGACAATGGTGACATTGCAAAAAATTTTACTCAACCTAAAATGAAATGAATTTTGTACATGGTACAAAATTATTTTTTCATTGTTAATTTTTCTCAAATATTCCAAATAGTGGAATATTTGCAAATAAATATCAGCAATTAAAACTATTTCTAACAGCACTTCTTTCTTGGTGGTTCAATCTGGATTTCACTAGAAGTGAATATAACCCATTGAAACGTACAGAAAAATTAAGTCACGTTGCATCTCTCTTTCAGCATCTACATTCTGGTGATTTTTGAAGCCCTGAACAGTAATCTAACAACCACTTTGATCAAAAAGCTCCTGTGGCAGGACTGTAAAATTAACAGTTGAGCCAAGTCCCTTCCCTCCAGCATGAGGTGTCACCCCACAGCTTGGTGTCATCAGCAGGCTTGATCAGGGTGCACTTGATTCTACTGCCTGTGTCACTGACAAAGGTATTTAACAGTATCAGCCCCAGTTCTGACCCTGAGACACCACTCATCTCTGGTCTGCACGGGGACAATGAGACATGGAGCAGGACTCTTTGTGTGTGATGATCCAGTCAGTTCTTTATCCACCAAAGGGTCCATCCATCAGACCTGTGTTTCTCCAATTTAGAGGCAAGGATTTTGGGCAGGGCACTCTCAAACACTTTGCACAAGTTGAGGTAGACAGTGTGAGTTGCTCTGCCCCTTTCCACCAATGCTGTAGCCCTGGAATAGAATACAGACTGATCTGTAGTTCCCTGTGTCTTCTGCTCTCCTCTTTTTAAATATGGATGTTAATATTTGCCTTTTTCTAGACAGCAGGGACTACCTGACTGCCACAGGTTTTCAAAAATTATGAAGTGGCTTAACAACTTCATCTTCCAGATCCCGCAGGATCCATGGCTGAATTTCATCAGATACATCACCATGTAGCCATCACCATTGCAGTCTTGGACCATAAACCTTCTACTGATTGCAATAGGAGTTTGAAGTCCAGTGTTAGCCTCCACCTTGTTACAGAAACATGGACAACATAAATAAAAACAGTCTGCCACATCATGCACAGTAATGACAAGATCTGTCTTGTCACATTAAGACTGAAAAAATAAGATATTAACCAAAGCTGCATGTATGTCTTTTGAGAGTTGAATGAGATTAAATGGGGCATTGCTATCCAAGTATGAAGCTTTTTTTTTTTTGTCCTTCCCTGTTGTGTTTCTTCCTTTTTAATTGATTTTTCCTTTGAAACAATATTTGAATATATAAGGCAATGGCCAGACAGATACTATATTTTGCTTCCTTCTCATCTTCAGAAAATAAAATACACAGGAAACACACTGATAAGCCATCACATCCATTTTATTTGTGAAAAATCTAATTGGCTGTTGTAGAAACAGCTCTTTAAATTTGGTCAAATGAATAAATGGAGGAGGAGCATCAAAGTACATTTTATTCGGTTCTGTTGTCTGTAAAGAAAATGTTTTATAATTCAAGTAAGAAATTCTTACATGAATTTCTTAATCAGGCTTCACTAACTTTTTCCTTTCTGTCTCTTTTTCCTTTTCCTTCCTTATCCGTGCTTAAAGTGCACCATTGATTTTGCTTCCTTCCTCCATCCCACTGCTCTTCTATTGTTTCTTTCCACCTTCATCATTCTATTCCCTTTCATCTTATTTACTTTGGTCACTTCCCCTGTCAGAAATTCTCATTCTTCTGAATATTTATTCCACATCACAAACAAGAAATCACAGTGATCTAGACAGAATCACTGAAGTCAGAATGTCTTGCAGAAACTGGGCAGGTTGTAAAAACCAAACAGCTTTTTCTTTTCCTGCCGGTTGTTTTTGTATTTTCTTTCCATTCTTCCTATTGTATTCTTCACTTTCCATTTCTTCTGATTCCCCATCATTACCACAGCAGTTATTTCCCCATCTGCAAAGAGAACCAGGCAGGATTAGTGAGCTTCTTTGCTGGACAAAAGAGAAAGGAAAACATACAATCTGTGCTATAAATACCTTCAAAAAGGCCTGAAAGCATTAGGTTTGATTGGTTTGACCTGTGGTACAAGACAATGTATCTTGACAGCTCTGACAGCCTTCACATACATAAACAGTCAGTCAGTCAGTCAATCTCCTGTATTCTGTTCTTTATTTGTCATCTGTAAACCTTCTGTTATTTGAAATGAAAGTTTGATGGAGGTACCTTAAATCCATTCAAACAAAGCTAGCTGAGAATATAAATAACATTTCAATTGTGAAACTAACAATGATTCCTCCCTCTCTTCCTTGCCTGTCATCTTGCAGTGGAGAAAGTGGTTCTGGGAAGACTGAAGCCTGCAAACAGATAGTGAAACACCTCACTTGCAGAGCCACCTGCAGCAGAAATATCTTTGATGCAAAGATAAAACATGTAAGTAGCATTCCAATCACTGAGTGGAATAAAACAAAACCTTGACCTCTTGGATAGGCAGAGATATTTGAACTGTATGGAAAAAGGTGTCAGCTCTGTAGAAATTCATAAATGGCTTGCTTTTACCTTTGAAGTCAAATGAAGGTTTTTCCATGAATGGGAATGGGATTAAGCTCACACTGATGTGATAAGAAGAATTTCCAAAGTGGAGACAGTTTTGTTTCTATGTTTTGGTGACTTTGAAATTCAGCGTTGCAGTGAATGGGAAACATTTCTCTGATAAGGAACAATTTCTTAAACATGAAATTAATTGCCTTCAGTAAATAAATAAATTTGCCTGTATGGTGTGGAGATGCTTCGCTGGACAGTGTAAGAATTGTTCAGACATCTGAAGTAATAGTATGCAAGACAGAAACTGTAAACTTGCAGGAAAAGTTCAAGGATTGAAAAAAGTTATATGGTTTAATAGTTGCATACTAAATATATTCAAGAAATAGGTAAGAGTTCTGAATATTTGTTCAGTCATATTTAATTCCAAAATATGTTTTTCCATATACCCATATTTAATTCCCTTTAAAGGTTCATACTCACATTTTAAATTATGCTGAACCCTGGATTGCCAATTCAAATTCTTTAAAAAAAATTACCTTTCTTGATGAAACTTCTCATCTGACATCTCAACTCAGAGACAGCCATCAATGGGTCTTAACGGAGGTGGAAGAGCATTGTCAAATTTTGGTTATAGAAAGATCCTTCAAAACTAGTTTAGATGGGATATCTGACTTTAGATACTAAATGTATCAGACCTCATCCATAGTGAATAGAATAGAAATTCTAATTTAGTTGCCTATTAAGGTGCCTTAATGAACATAGTTGTCTGGATTTATTCCTGCTGCAGTCATGCATAGCACCATTAAATTAATAAATTTGAACAGGTTAAAGCAAGTGCTGAATTAGTCTAAAGAGCAAATACATCCTAAACAACACTACGGGAGTGGAGCTGGAGCCCAAACTAGGCTGACTAGTTTTCTGCTGCCACCTACTGCCCAGACTGCTGGTTTAATTAACTGTGAATGGTTTAAATTTAGAGGTTCTGTGCCATTCCACAGACCTCTTCCCTCCCCAGCTAGTTCACCCAGCCTTATGAAAAGAGTGATGTCAGAACAACAGTATATATGCACCACATTGCAGCCAACTTTAAGGATGTATAGAGGAAAGTTCTGAAGGGAATCTGTCAGAATGTAAGGGGTGTAAGCAGCTAATTGTACACAAAAAGCTAAATAAAACGGCTGTGACCATGAAATTGCAACATGGAAATGCATTAGTAAGACATGCCATAAAAATGTCTGAATCTGTTTTTTTTCCTCAGTTTTTCACTAGTATAATCTTGAAATGATTCTATTTGAAATCAACAATTTATGCCATTTCTGACATTATATAAAACTTGTAAATTCCTTTGTTGGCTTATTAGTATTGACTGACTGTAGCTTCATAAGCTGTCTTAAAAGATTTTAGTACTTTTGCTAAGTGTACCAGCTCCAGGAATATGACTCCAGTCACTCGTATCCAAACTACTGGTAGGGACCCAGCTCACGTGTGAACCTTTCACTTACAACTTCCACTATTCTGACATTGCTTTTTTGAATTATATTTATTTGGAGCTGTCTTACTTTAATTTCTGTTTTGGAAAGAAACCTGTCAAGTATTTTTTTAAATTCCAAGATGAAACATTGTCTTCATTTTCCCCCCATTTATTAATCACAATGCAACCCCACTGATGTTTCTTGTAATATCTTCCCCTCTTATTGCTTCTTTGCTATCATTTTGCAGGTAAATTGTATCTTGGAGGCCTTTGGACATGCTAAAACACCCTTGAATTATTTTTCCAGCTGTTTTATAAAGTATTTTGAACTACAGTTTTGTGAGAGAAAAAAAACATTAATTGCAGGTAAGTGACATTTAATCTGTAAATTTTGATATCACACACAGAGTGTTATATCAGAGATCCCAGTGTTCATGGACGGAATTGGACAGCGAGAGCTTCAAGGTACATGGGAAAGGCAAGGGGGGGTCAGGGAGTGTCAGAGGAACAGCTTCCATAGTGTGTGGATTGACACTTGTCAGGAGTGAGCCGTGCTCTGTTCTGAGCAGCCACAAGGTGGCAGGAAAAGACAAGGAACAAACTGGCATCAGTGATTCCTCATTTCCCAGGAGGTCACGCTTCCCTTTATTTCACAGATCAACAAACTGAGAGAGCTGTGTAGTGCAGCACTGGGAAGAGTAAAAAATGGATTCAGTTGTCAAGTTGTGCATCTGTACCTTAAGTTGTATTTGGTACTTTAAGTATCCCTTAAATTAGTGAGATATAATCTGTTTAGTTAAAAAAACAAAACCAAAAAACAAACCACAAAGAGAAAAACCCTCCAACAACAAAAACCCCAAAAAACTCCAAAACCAACAAGTCTATTCTGTAATACTGTAATTAGAAGTAATTTATTACCTCTTAGAGCTTCTTTTAAAACAACTAAGAACCATATTGTTATTTATTCTTCTTAGAGGAAAGATAGTGTGAAATTCGTTCCTGCTTTCAGAGTGAGTCTTCTAATCCCTAGTAAGCATTCATTAGTGGGGTTAAAAAACCCCAAACCAAATACAATAAAACTGAGCAAACTTTCAGTTTAATTCTGAAAACTCTGCTGTTCAGAAGCAGTCAGAGAGAGCTTTCATTTCTGGTCCCCCATAGGTCGTCATAAAGCTACTCACTGTCAAAGCCAGGTATGTCTGCTGAGATAACTGCACACAGACATTTTCCTACTTGCACTGTTCCTAGATGGAGAAGCTGTATGGCAAGATGCACTGTTTGTTCCAATTAGATTCCCTTAGATAAACATTTCCAAATCTACTCTTTTTAAAAATATAATTTTAAATGTATTTATGCTTTCTGAAGAGTTTCCTAAAAAGTTTCATTGGAAATATTTCCAGTTACACTTTCTTGAGACAGTTCACTATACCCTAGAAAATAGGATAGTTTCTTCACGGGAATTGTCACTGCATGGGAAATTACTAACACTTTTTTTCTGGTTTGTTTTATAATGAATGTAGGATAATTGTAAAGGAAATTCAAAACTAAAAATGTGTGATTTTGTTTTTCATTTATAAACTCTTGTGGGAGGAATGCAAAATTAAACATACATTAGCATGGACTGAAGAGCATCTCAGTTCAGTTTGTAAAAATAAATCTCAATCCCTAAAGCTAAAATTTTATAGAGCCTTTGTATTGTAACATATTTAATTTGAGTGTATTGTGTTTGCAGGAATGTGGGTTTATGAACAGCTTTACTCAGAACTGCTAGTTTAATTCAAAACCATTGCCTGTGACAGGATCAGTTAACCAGGTTCTTGTGCCGGTTTCCTGGTAAACTAATTCTGTGCTTTTATGATTCTCAAGCCATAGGCATCAAATGAGAAAATGTAAGGGTAGTCAGGTCAATTAACAAATATAAATAAATTACTTATCTACCCTGCTATTTCCCAGTTATCTAGGAATTGAATCAATTATTCTTACCAAATCTAAGATAGCCAAAATTTACATAATTTACTGTCAAGAGAGAGACAAGCCTTACTACAGCAGTAGAAGCGTGTTTTGTATTTCTGAAATTTGCAATTGTTCCTGCTGTTTGATTTGCATAGTAGATGTTGCCTTTTCTCAGTCACTGCTAAGCATCACATCTCAGTGAAATTGTCCCAGGTTTAGACCACCATAAATGAGAAAAGAATCCTGCATGTTGTCTTTGGCAGGTTTAAATTCCATCCAGGCGTACTCTGTATTTATTTGCAAGATCATTTGCAGCAGTATTTACGTCTTCTACTGTTTAAACATAAATGAATAATTTAAATATGCAGAGCACCTGATTTTGCTGACCCATGAATTCATAATTCATTGATACTAACGGGGCTAAATTCATCTGATTTGTAAACAAAAGTCCAAGTGACACTAGACTGCCTCTATCAAAGGGTTTAGGTGATTTAAACTCCTCCACAGACAGATATTACAGGTGGAGATCGGAACAATTTCCTAAGGAAGGGGCATGCAAAGTACGTGTGTACACTGCTATTATAGAGGGCATGCCCAAGGTGGCACTCCTAGTGTTTTGAGTGGACACCAGTGAAGTTTGTGACAGCCTCTTGTTCATGCTGAAGTTCTTTTAGACTCTGGAAATGCTCTGACTTTTGTCACAAGGTTTATTCTTCTAGCAGAAAATACAGTATACCTAAATAACTGAAATGTCCCCCATAATTTTTATCATTAGATTTGATTCATTCTTTAGCATAAACTGTATTTTTGCCACAATGTTTTGAAAACAAGGATGGAAAGTTTTAGCGTGTTTCTTCTCAAAGCCAGTAGAGATATCTGAAGAGGTTTTATGTAGTAAAAAGTTTTATATTAGAACAAACACTTAAAATAAACTACAGGCCAATGATTTCATTAACTTGCTAAAATAAATTCAGAACTCAAAGATTGATCCTCTGGCAAAAAAATAATATCATTCCTAGAGAATCATTAACTCCCGCAGTATAAAAGTAGCAGACTGATTTTTTCTTTTTTCCCAGAGTTGTCCTTCAGATAAGTTGATATAATTCCTAAGGTGAAAATTAATGCCTATATAAATTTCCTCAAATTACTTAAAAAGAAACTTAGGAACAGAAAATAAAGTCTGAAAAACTTATTCTCCATATTTTTTGCTTTGCTTTTCATACATGGATTTTCTCAGTCTTTACTATTTGATAAGCAAGGACTGATTTTAATTTTTTTTTAAGTTACATTGAAATGGACTGACAAATGTTTTCTTGTCTTTAAAAATAGCTGCGTTTAGGACAGCATGGTTTTTGAGAAGGAGCAATGTAGTTTCTGAGAATGCATAGCTGAAAGACAGATTTCACTGGCTACACTTTTAATACAGAATCTGCTTGCTGACTGTGTAGCTGCTGAGTAGATCAAATGATCTGTCAAAGGAAGTAGAAATTTGTTTGTGCCTGTAAGTACAATTACCATTGCACAAAAATGACAGACTTTGATTTGGAACTTTATTAATTTTCTCCCTTTTATTTCACACATAGATTAACAAACATATTTCACTTTGTAGAAAAGCATACTACCATGATAATTTTTTAATGACTCTTAGTGCCATTATCATGATGCTGTGTTTGATTTTTGCTGATTGGAAGCTTGGCTTTTCTTAACAGCTCTTCCCACTGCTGGAGATGCTAGTTGAGACGGAATGTATTTAGCCTTATTAAAGTGCAGGTGACTTGAAGTACTTGGAAAGGACTGAATTAATTTGTGTCATCTGAATAAGTGATGTTACCCATCATTAAAGTTAAATGATAGATGACCTTTGGTAACATTTTTCTGCTTATATTAATCAATGAATGTTAAAAACACCTGAAGTGGTAATTATAAAAGTCTTAGTGAAGAATATTGCACACAAAAATGTGATTAAAGGTTTACAGTGAACTTTTTTCAAATTAATTGATGGTTGGATTAGTTTTACTGTGAAATCACTTACAAGTACAATAGGAGATGAAAATCATCCTTTAGGTTCATCTATTCTGTTTCACCATGTAGGAATGACAGTCAGGTAATGATTGATTCTGATGAGTGTGTCTGGCCAGTCCTGCCGTGATTGCATTGCTTCAATTTATAATGTGTTGCAAAGTTACTGGAGCCAGAAACATACATGATTTCCCAAGTGTGCCTTTCTACTTCCCATACAGGTTGGGGTTTTTTACTTTTTTCTGTAGTGTAGCAGCAGAGGATTAGATGGATGATACACAATTTTTCATAATATTGATTCCATAATAGCAGTTCACGACTACATTTTGGAGGATGATTAAATGGGCCAGATCATGTTTCCTTGCTTCAGCAAGTCAGACATACAGCTCCTCTTTGTCAGTCCTACTGTCTCTTAGCCAGAATCCCAGGCATGGTTTTGGTTGCCATCACATGTCAGGACATGTCTGTGCTGTTACATAAAGGAAGAGTAGAGGATGTCCCTGGCTAATGGACCAGTGACCACTTGTACTCCTTAACTGGGATGTGTCCAGGATGGTTTGGCCTGTGCAGAACAGTTCTTTGAGAAACCCTTCATAGTTACATTTAGTTCACAAAATTTAGCTGCTGAGGCCTTTCTCAAAACAATATGTTCAACATTCAGTCATTTAATTTCTCTCCCATCTATACTGTCTTTCAGCAGTATTCTCAAAGGCTGTGCTCCCTCACACACAGTTTCAAGTAAACTCAGGTTTGCTGTGTTTATTTCAACAGTATAAACAGAAACTTAAAGATCTTCAAAAGATAAGTGGAATTTAAAATAAATTAACCAGACAAAGAGATGATGCAGCAATAACCAGCCTAGCAGTGAATGACCTATTGTGGACATTAGCAACTGTATGGTGACAGGAACTGACATTCTGCCTGCTGGCCTAGTCATTAGGTTAATGCAACTACTGTGCCTCTGATACAAACTCTCATCCACCAAATTGTTTCACTTTGCATTGGACAATACCTGTAAATCCAAAACTGGTTCTGAAAGTATTGCTTTAATCCCAGCCAGCTTAACAAAAGTAAAAAAACGAGAAAAATTCTAAAAAGACATGAGTGGTATGCATTTAGAGAACATGCTTGCTGTGCTGCAGGATGTATGCACCAATATTTATAATGACTATATGTTCAAGAGCTGCTTCCAGTTCATGAAGAAAGGAATCTTGAATGAGTTGGTTGAAGGCCAGGCTATGGGGAAGCTGTAGTTTAATAGTCTCATCTGCTTACCGGGTTCAAAAACACAGGTCCTCCATTGCTGAGAAGGGCACTCTACACTGAACAGCCCGTTCCAGGGTGAGGATGCTTGCAAAGACTCTGTGAAAGCTCTGCCATACTGCACGAATTGAAAAGCCTAAAGCTGCAGCAAAATGGACTGTGTCCATGTGGTGGAGGTGCTCAGTTGTGTGTGATGTGCTTCTGGTTTTGCACCACAGCTAGTATTGAAGTAATGATGAGATAAAGTATGCCAGCAGCTGGAACTGGGGTCAGGTTCCCACTGACCAGAAAGGCCCTCACCTCTAGCTGCAGTTGGACATTCCCTTGTTCTCTTAGTCTCTTGCATCTGGAACCATGTGGTGTTACACTCCCAGGGGAGAGCTCAAGAGCCCAGCTCAAGAGCCTGCCCAAAATACTGAATATCCCTCTGTCTCTTCACAGGTATCTCTAAAATGCCTGTTACCTTGTGAACAGGTAAATGGATCTGAGGGCTCAGTATTTCCTTTGCTTCTGTGCTTTGCCTCTTTCACAATCTTAGTGGGCCTGAGCTTATGTATGATCCTGTAAACTGTAAAGTCCTTTTTCTGTAGTCAAATCTCACTCAGATTCATCCTCCTTCACCATCTTCCCCAGACTGCTGATTTACACAGCTTCTCATTTATTCAGGTCATCATAGCCCTTCTGTGGTGCCCATGTTTCCCCAGGCTCAGGTTAGTGAGCTTGTTGATAACCTGTTGTGCAGAAGATTTGTCTCTTTGTAGCCATAGAGAAGGTTAATCTAAACTATTAATCTCTATGTTCTTGATTACCAGCAGAGAAAGAAGAAATGCTTGCAAGTGTGTTTTTTCAAGAGGTCTTGAATCTCTTTTCCATCTTCCTCTTTCTGTTTAGAAGGAGGATAGAACAGATACCCTTGCTCAGATGGCTACACTTTGGTGACATGACTAATAGCTTGTCTCTTAGAAAGTTTTGCCAAATACAACAACTGGTACAAATCCACATCAATATCGTTAAAACTAAGTAGTTTTAATGGTAATATCAAACAGTAAGTGTGGTAATATGTTTGTTCCACCAATTTTAATGGAATTAGGGTTTTTGATTTGTATAGAAAACCATGGGAGTATAAATGGTAATACTATATTTTATATGCTCCCCTCAGATAATTTTGTAAGAAATATTGTTTATTCTTAACTGTTGCAATGGTGAATCATTTAAGATATTTAAGCTTAGAACAACCAGTATATTGATCAACTTGTATTTGTTTCTTAATCAGCTAGGATTTATACATACATGTTGGAGAAATCTCGTGTCGTTATCCAGCCTTTCAACCAGAGTAATTTTCACGTTTTTTACTTGATGATGGATGGATTGTCTGCTGAAGAAAAATACACCCTGTACCTCAGTAATTTATCTGCACACAGGTAGGAAAACAACTTTATATTTAGTATTAATAGTTTTCTTACATTAATGCCTTTCTGCTGTTGAGGTCCTTCTTCCAATAGTTAAAGTTTTCCTAACTTTTCAATTGGTTCTGACATTATTTATTATGGAGTACCTGTTCATGAAGATTTACTTCTGAAGTACATATATAGTCTATTAACAAGATCAGAGTTTTATATCCATTAATATTGTTGCCTTAGAGGAGAAAAAGAAATTTATTATCTACTTTTCTGTCTTCTGTGGACTAGAGTAGGTCTATTGGTTTTGGTTTTTTCCCTGGTGAAAAGTTTCTTTCTTAAGGCAAAAACTGTTTTATTTATTTATAATTTTCTTAAAGAATATATTGATTTTGATGAAATGTCACCAAATGAAATTGGTATCTCCATTTTCATCTTGATACTTACTTTATATCAAATTAGTAAGAAAAACTGAAACAAAAGTTTCGACTGCTTTGAACCCAAGCATGGAATTCAACACCCAGCACCTAAAATGATGTGTTTCTGTGTACTCCACATGAGCTGGTTGTCTTGGCTCCCATTTGCCATCAAAGGAGATTGAGTCCCTGCTCAGCTATCTATAGACTTACACAAAGCTGTGTGCTTTGGATGAACTGAACCGCGTTTGTGTCTTCATAAACTGTGCTGATCACATCACCTTTAATAATAAGATAAGATATAAAGAGCTGAGTATAGACACCCAAATGTAGGATGCCTAAGGCTTAATATCGTCCAAATGTTTACTATAAGAGGAGGTTTTGGGTTTTTTTCAGGAAATTTTGTGATTATGTCAGAATTTTTAAATTCAGATTATTTTAAAATGAAAAAATATTCCTCTCTTAGTTAATTTGCCTTTTACTATTCAGTCTTTTCTAAATGCCACTGAAATAAGAGAATTATTTAGTTAATTATTTAGTATTAATGATCTTCCCTTAAACTGACTACCTTTAAAATGATATAGTGAGTAATTTTAAAAAGACCAATAATAATAAAAATTATGTAAGAAGAATGTTTTCAGGTTTTCACATCTAAGCCTTTTTCCAATGGATTTTTTTTCTTCAACTTTTTCATTTTCCACTCTGGCTAGTGACTTTAATAAAATAGCAGTTCTAGATTTAGGACCTGTAAATATAAAGACGCCACATTCATTTTTGCAGAGAAAAGCTTTGTTCATTATGATTTTTTTCTTAGACAGAAGTCTTCCAACTGCCGTTGTTTGGTAAAGTTTTAAGCTGTTACAATTTCTGTATTATGCAGAATTGCACACAGCACTAGCTCTGAAGAAACCTCAGGCTAAATTCCTTGGCTAAAAATTATTCCCTTCAAAGCAGGGAGAAAAAGAGTTAAATTCTACGTTTTCAATCATTTGAGGACTTTGAAGACCAAAGGTATTCTAAGTTCTTGATGATTACTTTATTCCTCTTCTAGCACAAGTTGTTTGGAAGCACTCAGTTTGCTCAGAAAATGAAACAGTTTCAAGTCCCCTTGCAAGAAGCTCAGACAGGAAAGAACTTAACGTAAACCTGAATAATTAGATTCACATGAACAAAGCTTTATCTGATATCTGATAATCATCTGGAAAGAAAAAAATGGTATTTCTGAATAGATGTCTGAACATTGCGGTACCAAAGCTCCAGAAGTAATTGATAGCTGAATATTTGCATAAACCTGCTTTTATCAATAAAGCTTTGCTTTGCCTATGTAGAGTAGATTGTATCTTGCATTACTTGAGAGCGTTTGAGCCAAATTTTTCTTATCTTAAACTCCTGAATTCAGTACTTCAGTGAGCTAGATCTTTCTCAGCTGATAAAGTTAAATTAAGGATAAATTTCTACTGCATCAAACTCACTCATGAATCAGGAAGGCAGAATCTGGCCTCTTTTATAAGCTCATTATTTCTGGCTTAGTCAAATTTTGATGAGATCACATCATTCTGGTAACATCCATAAGTGATTTTTTCATGTTTTCTTTAAACAAGTGTAATCTTGACTCAAATAGTAAAATTAACTAGATAACAGTCCTTTTGAAACTTTTGGCAGGTTGTTTCTGCCCAGTTGTATTTTGATAAAATTTCAAGTCCTTTTCTCATTGTTTAATATTTCACTTTTATGTAGAAGATTCAACAATCTTAGTAAATAATGACTCTTAAGATCACAAAATACCCCTATTTTAATATTATTTTACTAAGCCATTGCAATATAAGAAATAAGATGTAGCATAGGTTTTCTTATTCTTATTTTAGATAAAAGTGCCTCAAAGATTTAAAGTAATTTTATCAATATGATGTTGTAAAAGATGAGATGTAGACTGTGTTTTGTGTAATATATAATCCTGGACTGAGAGTTAATGTAAATTGCTTAAAGGGGAAATCCCTCCCTTTTGGAATCACTAGGAATTTCTATAAGGCTGGGGTATCACCCCATCATATAGGGGAAGTTGTTTGGTTGTAAATCTCTGCTGTTTGGTGCCATCCTGAGAGGGAGCTTGAGCTCAGAAACTTAAATATGTGCTCTTGCAAGGGTTATTATGATTGCTAAGGCATCGTGTGAAGACAAATACCTGGACACTTTCTATTGAGCCTACATACAACTAGGATCTTAAAGTAGCAAGAATTTAATTTACTTAGGAAAGGATCTGAATGAACACATCTCCCATCCTATCTGCATGTGGATCACGATGGATAAAGGCAGAAGTAATTGCTGAAAGGTAAGATCATTTTTCAAGACTGAGCAAGGGAAGCATGTCAGAAATGAAGAGAGAGTCTTGAAAGGGCAAGCTGAAGCTTTTTGACTGACAACTACTCTCGTGTGTTCATTATATTCAGAAACTAATTTTTATCAGCAGATGTTTGATTGAAAAGTTCCAAAATTTCTATTAATTTACTGTGTTTCAAAGAACTCTAGGACTTCTTTATCTTGATGATGATAATTATATGTAATACAGAAACTTTAGCAATTTGAAGTTGTATTCTCAATTTGCTCTTGATTTGCTCTGGATTACTTTTTTTTTTTCCTGGGTGCAGATTACAGTCCATGAGTGTAAGCAGTACTTTTGTGACCTCTGAAGTTTAGCCTCATAAAAAAAAACATGTACTAGCTTTTCTAGCACATTTAGTTCAGCCTCATAGTTACAGTAGGTGCTAATTAGTGATGAATCTTGCAACCAAGGTGAAACAGAGAGCAGTAAGAGAAGTGACAGTTGTGACAGATTGATTTGTAAATGATCTTCAACTCTGGTGGAGAAAGGATAGGAAACAAAAGGAAAGATCATAGCAATAGCAAAGAAAATATATTTGGAAAATCTTTCAGAAAATAAGTAGAAAGTCCTGTTTTTGTTGCTTTGGGCCAATTGCTTCATATTAGCATTTCTATTTCAAAGCTGTGGCATATAGAACAACGTAAGAATGTCCTTGTGTAATATGTATATGTAAGATGCTCAAACACACTGTTATTAAAAATCATGTCCTTACATTTATATATTTATATTTTAAAATATAGCTTAAAGCCACTTAACTCTAGAAAATTATTTCAGAAAAGATGGTAGGTTTGAGAGCTGTTCAACTTGATGTTGCCATTTTCAGCTTAAACAAAATTCCTACTTCTCCTAATTCATTGTACTGTAAAAACAAGTGAATAACTTCAAGCTGAGGAAAATGTTATGTACATATTGATACTGTGGTTAGGGCATGCACTTTTTGTATTATCAAACTGCTGTTCCCAGATGTGTAAAACTTTCCTTTCTCCCATAGAACAATGGTGTGCACTGCACTGTGTGTTCTCTCTGCCTGTGATGCTTCTCACAGCCCTTAAAAAGCAGTGGAACTCTTCTGCACCAACAGATGTAGATCAGTTCATGGAATTGATGTATCTTCTTGTACAGTGCAGGTGCCCTCTTCACTTTTAATAAGAAAACTTGAACATAATACATAAAGGAGTAATTTTAGGAAAGTAACTGAATTTTTTATTAAATTTTTAATTATTAAAGTCTAAACTGATCTGAACCCTGATCACTGAGGAAATAATTTCCCATTCTAAATTATAAGGTTGGTCTTCAAAAAAAAAAGCATAAAAATAGTGTGGTAAAGTGAATGAATTAGAAAAGATCCCAGTAAAGACAGCCTTATGTATGATTTTTGTGTGTTTCCAGTCATCTTCTTATCTAACAAGCACTAATACAATGTGTTAAAAATAACTATTATTCTGTCATATCTGTTGTAGATATGGACCATGAAGACACTGCACATTTCGATACCTTTTCTTTCCTTGTATCTTTGGATTTTTTTTCCCATTCATTTTATTAACTTCCCATTTAAAATGCAACAGAAAAAAAACTTTCGTCTTGAAACTACCAGTTTCCCATACCTGTGTCATTTGTCTGCAAACCTTTCTGTGGTAGTCTAACACTAAATTAATGGAGTGTGGGTTTGTTTTTTGTTTTGTTTTGTTGTTTGGAATTGTTTGGGGGGTTTTTTGTTGTTTTTGTTTGTTTGTGGGTTTTACTTGTTTTGTTAACGTTTTCATTTGGTTATGTTTGTGTGTTTTTGGTTTTGATTTTATTAAATTTTCCCCATATAATCAGAAAAATAGGCATTTTAGGGATGTTCCAGTCCTCTGATGTTTCCATGCTCTTTCCTTGTATTCAAACCTAATAGATAATTTTTTCTTGTGGATATTCACTTTGTTTTAAACTTTCAGTACAGCCAAAAGCTCAGTTCACAGAGGTGATTACATAGGACCATTTTAATTCCTTTGCTTCATGATTTGCTTGATGTTGATACCGCTGTGTGAGGACTAGAGGAAAATCCAAGCATTAGACTTAAGTTACAAAATTAGGTGAATTTAAGTGTTGTGAATGAAACATCTAGATCTGTAAGAGTTACATCAGATTTTCCCATCCTGCTGGAATGATAATTTCTGTATGAAGTGCCAAGTTGCATCACTTTATCAAACTGCTGTGAGACATCCTGTCATGAAACTCAGCATAAG